TTGCTCACCTCCACAGAGGACCCCCAGCTCTTAGCTCCCCCCTGGGTTTCCGATCACTGTCAGTGGCAGGGGGCTTCCTCCTGCTTTCCCTTTCGCCTCCCTGCATTTTGCCTACATATGCAAATTAACCGCCATCTTTGTTGGCAGGTAACTGCCATCTTAGTTGGCAGTTAATTTGCATATCGCCCTGATTAGCCAATGAAAAGGGTAGCGGTCGTACACCAATTACCATGTTTCTCTTTTATTAGTGTAGATTTTTGCCCAGGTGTTATCATGAACAAATGTTTGTGGAATAAATAAATGCTGTTCCTCCAGGAATTTATTTTTGATGCATTTTCCTGTCACAATCCTCTGCATGCCCCAAAGCCCTGTATGCCCACCATTTCTTCATGGCAGCTCTGCCTTCCCCTCCCTGCAGAATTAAACTTGCTCCCCTGTGGTCACAGTGCATGGCTCACACTCTTGTTCTTTGTACTATAAATACCGTGTATAATCTTACCACCTTGCTCACTAGATTGAAAACTTAAGGGCAAGGATGGTGTTTTATTCATTTACGTTGCTGTTGACTTGCCAACGCCCCAGTAAAGGTTTCCAAAAACATATTTTGCCTCAAGAATCAAAAAACAAAGCAGCAGCCTATGACTTGCTTAAACAATTACCAATCCTTTCCCCCTCTCATAATTATCCAGAAAACAAGAGCTAAGACAGAGAGGAAAAGGCAGGTTGCAGAAGTCAGTGTAAGGAATGAAATTCCCTGCCCCTCCTCCGTCCCATTCCAGAATGCTAATGACAAGTCCCAGCATCCCCCCTGGGCTCCTGGGAGGATGAGCTGACATGCACATTGGGGAATTCTGGGGTCTATACAGCTGACTCCTTTCGATCCTATATTTGAAATATTCTGAATAAAGTGATTCCTTTCTTCACTTTATTCGAGTTCAAGGAGCCTGCACCATTAAGTCCAGATCCTGTCCCAGGGTGTCCCTTTGTCTTCATCTTTCAGAGGAATCTCCCAACCCAACTTTACAGTACTCAGGAGTGCCATGAGAGGTGGTTTCTACTTAGTATTAAGATAATTTTTCCCCTTGAACACACTCTCAGTCTAATTTATGGCTAAGATGGTTTAGCTAATCCTTCTTCTAAGGTAATTTACAGAAATAAATTTATACTGAGAAGTGGAATTATTAGATCATATGGTAACTCTATAGTTAACTGTTTCAGGAACTGCCAACTAATTGCACCATGTTGCATTCCTACAACAGTGTGTGAGGGTTCTAGGTTCTCCACATCTTCACTAACATTTACTACCTGTCCTTTCTATTATAGGCATCCTAGTGGGTATGAAGTGGTATCCATGTGGTTTTGATTTTCATTTCCTTGATGGCAGTGACGTTGAGGAGCTATTCCTGTGTTTATTGCATATGTGTTCTTTGGAGAACTGTCTATTAATATCCTTTTCCCATTTCTTAGTTGGGTCAGTTACCTTCTTCTTCTTGAGTCGTAAGTGTTCTTTATATATACTAGCTGCAAGTCACTATCAGGTAAATAATGTGAAAATTTTCTCAGTCTGTGAATCGCCTTTTCACTTCCTTGGTGGTATCCTTTGAAGCCCAACATGTTTTAACTATGATGATGTCCACTTTACCTACTTTTTCCTTTGTTGCTTGTGTTTTCCATGTAAGAGTTTTATAGTTCTAACACATTTAGTTGTATGATGCAGTTGGAGTTAATTTTTGCATATGTCATGAGGTAGGGGGTCCAAATACCTTCATTTATTGTAAAAGAATGCCTCTCATTTGCGTTAAAATTGTTTCAGATTCAGGTGTTGTCAGCCTTCTCCATCCATTATAAGCCTCCCCATCAGCATTTCGCCTAATGATTTGAGGTTTTATTCATGAACATATTTCATTTGAGATTGAAAATGGTGACATTCTAAATCTATCATTCTTCCTGCAATTCTTCTATGAGATTCACTACTACTTTTTGAGAGCTGGTTATGTGCAAGATACTACCCTGTGAGTTTTAAATAAATTATTTCATAATGATCTCAAAGCCTGCACAAAATAGGCCCCCATCACATACTGGGTAACCAAAGTTCATGCCTCAACCACTATATTCTCTCTCTCTCTCTCTCTCTCTCTCTCTCTCTCTCTCTCATTCTCCCTCTTGTTTGTTCCTGGGCGTTCTCAGAGCTCAAAGACAGGACTCGTTTCTCACCACCTTCTCGCCTGGCATGTTTGACATCACTAAACTGCTACCCATTTTTCCACTGGCCACTGCCAGCTGGGCTAATCTTTCCCTGCCCGTCTGTGCCAGTCT